TATGATATGACTGAGCTGAACTGGGCTGGCTCAACAAATATTTGTATATATGAGAAATGTGTTCAATTGCGCTCTTCACCTTAAGTATTTTCCAAAAGTATGGAAAGCAGCAGAAGTAATAACTATACCCAAACTAAATAAAGACATAACTGTAACAAATCATACAGACCAATTAGCATATTTCCAGTTATGTCAAAATTGTTTGAAAAAATAAATTTATAAAGACTAGAACCGATTCACCTCAAAGAAAAACTTATACCTGATCATCAATTCGGCTTTCGGAAAAAGTATTCGACTATACAACAAGTTGACAGAGTTGTTAATAAAATAACAAGTGATTTTAACACAAAACAATTTTCCTCCGCGGTGTATCGTAAAGGCTTTCGACAGCGTTTGGCATGGAGTTCTCCTAACTAAACAATCCCAGCTTCTTCCAACAAACTTTTATCTCATACTTAAGAGCTATCTACAAAATAGATACTTTTATGTGAAGTATAAAGACTCAATCTCCGAACTTAAACAAATGAAAGCTGGTGTGCCTCAAGGAAATTTTACAAATCCACAGACAACTTGCAGAATTACCTAAACGCAACGCTCGAATGGTTCGACAAATGGGGAGTTCAAATAAATACAAGCAAAACAGTTCATGTTATCTACACGAATAAAAAATATGACCTAAAACGTATAAAAATTAACAATGATTAAGTCTTCACATACACAAAGGCAAAATATCGTGGTATTACTATAGATAGCAGATTAACTTGGAAAGGCCATATCAAAGCTAAAAGTAATGAATTTAAGCGTCGCTTTGGACAATTGGACTGGCTTCTCTGCTCGAAATCAAAACTAACAGTGGAAAATAAACTACTAGTATATACAACAGTAATCGCTCCAATATGGAAATATGGAGCCGAAATATGGGGCACAGGATGCAAATCCAACATTCAAATACTGCAAAGACGACAATCAAAAATACTTATAACTATCATCAACGCTGACTGGTACATCTCAAACTACAACATTCATCGCGATCCAAAGATACCCTTCGTTGCAGACGTTATCAGAAAAAATAATAAAAAGCACACAGACAGATTACTTTCCCATCCTAAGTCAACAATGAGGCAGCTATCTAAAGACGAAACCACACATAATAGACGATTGAAACACTTATATCCATCAGAACTATCAATATTATAATAATCCATAATTATCTATCTAATAGGTATATTCATATTAATTTCTATTTAATTGACTCATTTATTCTACCATCTATCTATTAATTTAATTATCTTATACTATTTAATTGAAAGAAGTTTTTTTTTTGTATTTTTTTATTCATTATTAATAGTTCACTCATGTAATTCTTAATCTTGTTTTTTGAATTATTATTTGAATTTCCATTATGTAAAAATGTATACTAAATGCTAAATTGGCAGTTGTATAAATAAAGGGAAGCACAAAAAGAAAAAAATGTGTTTCAAAAGCACTTGATTAATTGCAGGAATTGAATCATTCTAAATGTCAGTTGTAGCTCCTTTAAATATTGAAGAAATTATAAAGTGTTTCATCATATTTTCTCATGAAATTCAAAAGTTTAATGTAATTTCCATGGTTTTTTGATTCAGCGCACTCATCATGACCGCGTAACAGTAAATCTTGCATACTGAAATAGCAAACTGCATCAATCAACCGCCTTAAAATTTGTCGATTTTTGGAGACAACTTCATTGTGTTTATTAAGTGCTACTTTTTTTTGATTCTCTAACATTAAGTCAAGTCCTTGTCTACCAAATGGTTTGAAAGACAACACACGATTCAAGTGCGTAAGACTTATCTTATGCTTTGCAACACTTGCGCTAAATCCACCAAGAGACCAGACAGTTTTGTCCTCACAAGCAAATAGTGAACAAGATCAACAAAATAATATATTTAAATGTTCGCAGCCTGTGATCCACTGGTTTTTATGGAAAATAATTGTAGGAAAACGGCGACTTACCACAGATTTTGATATTTTCACATCAGTTACCAAATTCTTCATATCTGGAGTTGGTTTATGCGTTTTATGAATTAAAACCTTTTCTTTAGCAGATCGTTTAAAAAAGGTGTTTTAATCAGTTCTTCAATTACAAACTTATCCATAATATTTAGATTATTTTTCACTTCAGATTTTGTTTACTTTCCACTTGAATGTATAAAATTTCCATAATGAATTTGACTTTTGTTTTGTTTCAATCTTTCGTATGAGCATTTGTCATTGCAACCTCTACATAAGAGTAAGAAATCTTCATGCAGTCATTTTCTCTTTTACTATGTATTTTCTATTTCCATGTTATTGGCCTTTATTTTCCTTGAATTTTGATTTCTACGTCTTGTAGAAATTTACTGTAATTCTATACATACGAAATCATTTCAATATCTTATCAATATGAAGTTGTAAATTACTTACAACAGAGTAAACATTTTTGTCATCATGCATAATGCAGATGTTGTCAGCAAAAAGCGAAATTGTGTGCATAGAGAAAATCTTTTGTATATAAATTATACAATACAGGAAACAATGGCGATCCCAATTCCCAAGAGGGAAACCCTTGACCCTGGAGTTCTCGACTTTAAACAAGAAACAATAATTTGATAAAAAGTTTGCTAAAAGTTTATTCATTTCAAATGGAGTATCATAATATTTTGATATTCACTATCAATCCTTTGTACCACACCTTATTAAAGGCCTTATCGATATGAAGCATGACTTTCACTTCATTGAAATCATTTTTTAAGTTTGAGAAACTCTTTCCAGTTGAAGATCAGTGAAAAATTTTTTTGGAATATGAACTGTTATTTGGAAATGACAATTTTAGCTATAACTATATTTTTAAGTCGTGCAGTGCTATCATTTCTGAAAAATTATCTCCAATTTTCAGGCAAACAAAGGTCTTTTTCATAACTCATAACCACCATAACTGTAGTTCCTCAGCTTTACGAAAATACACCTAAAAGAAGTACTGCATTAATGATATCTTTGAATCTTGTTGTTACGGACATCAGAAGATTTTTTAATCACATGTGATACATACCATCCAGTGCTGGGAATTTTTTAATTTTACTGAAATCCTTATTAAAGTGTTGACTTCTTCGTTCTAAATTCCATTTTTAATTAAATATCAGTCACCATTCTTTTAATTTCTTTCTCATTTTGCTGATTGTCAACTTAAGATTTTGCAAAAGTTTTTGTTTTTTGCTATTTAGTGGAGCGCTAACCATTGTCATCATGACAGAATTTGTCTTTAATCGTAAATACTGGTTAAACATTTAAATGGTTTTGCCACCTGTCTCAATATTATTTCCCGACTAGGCCATCAAAATCCTTGTGAAAATTAATTCCAAAATTTCGAGATAATAGCTCTCTAAGTTAACATCTTTAAAACTTGGAAATGTGCACATATTTTTAATTTCAATTGTTTCCTATGGATTTTACACCCATTTTTTATGTGCCTGTTCTCATTTCCAATGACAAATGTTTTATTATTCTGAACTCGTCATTATCAATAATGAAAAAATGATTCCATTTTTCCAATAAGAACTTGTTATTATATAGAGCAATTTTCTAATCCTGTTGATCAAAAATTTATATTTGATTGCCTAATATCTATGTTATTTTCGATTTTGGTTTGATTGTTTTATATTTTTCAATTAGAAAATCTCGAAATAACAAATATATACATTCTGGCAGTGTTCCACTTGGATACTTCGTTTTATTGGTTGTGTGACAGTTTCTTCGTCAAATTCAGTATTAGTACTATTTAGTATAATTAATTCGTTTTTCTTGCTGTAGTTGTTACTGAAATTAGTGTTAAATTAATGATAATCTCGTTGCTCTCTGAAAGCTCCAAAAATGTGTGGTTTTGTTGCCGAGAGGAAATATAACTTTGCCTGAAGAATGTGCCACTGAAATTACTAATAATTGGCGTCAGCTTATAGTAAGTTTCGGCGTGTTTCCTTATCAGTTAGTAGTAGTTCTGTTATATCTTCAGCCCAGTAAGATATTAAGGCCAAAACCGGGAAAGTGTTATTTCTACTCTAACAATATTAAAAAAATAAACAGGACTAAGTTTGTTAGGAAGTATGACTTCCATTCTAAATAATTGATGAAGTTTGAATTTCACATAAACGATATTCAGGAAGTATTACTTCAACCTGCTCAGTGTTTAGGCAATGTGAATTCTACCTAAACGAAATTTTGGAAGCATAACATCCACCTAAACAATGCTTAAAAAGTATAATTTTCTTTCTCGACAATGTTTAGAAAAATATCTTTTACCTAAGCAAGATTTATTTATATATTTATGTAGAAAGTAAAAATTTCTAAAGAAAGAAACTTTTTTTCGACAAAGACCCCTAAAACAAAAGTTTTTAAGTTTTTCCTATATAATTTAACAACGCAAACATTGATGCACTTTAAATTTACTAGTATCAGCAAATAAATTATTTTTTAAATAAATATTATCTTACTCATTTTAATAATTTATTCATTGTAAAATACTAACAATAAAATAATTTGTAATTAATTTCCAGACACTACGTCAGCATAAGATCATATTTCTTTTTTTGCATTCTTATGCTGAAGTGCGTGCCGTACGTAAAAATCAATAAATACAAAATCAGTTTTTTAAAGCGCTACATAGTGAGCGAACCTCAAACTCGGTTTTTTTAATTTTTGAACAAACTCTTCATAGAAGACGGCTTTACATGGCTTTGTTTTACCATTTTTTATAGCATTCTCAATGCCTTTTTATTGCTTGCATTGTGTGAGACATTATGGAGTTCCTTGTTATTATATTTTTTTCGAATTTAGCTTCTTTCTAGTTTACACACAATTTGTATAAAAAAATATATTTTTTAGTTTGAATTTGTATTGTAATACACATTTTTCTATATTCATAAATATTTTCAGAGATTCTTTTTATATTATGTTATTGCTAATACATTAAAATATTTATTTTATAGGCACTTGATGCACAACATAGAAAAGCAGTAGCAGATATGATTCATGAACTAAGCGACAAAGCACAATTTATAACAACTACATTTAGACCGGAATTATTAGAAAATGCTCATAAATTTTATGGAGTCCGATTTCGAAACAAAGTCAGTCACATAGATTGTGTATCAAAAGAACAAGCAAAGGACTTTGTAGAAGATGACAACACTCATGCATAATGCATTTACTATATACATAAGTAAAAATTAATAAAAAATAATTATATATGAGAGAAACAGTAAAGTTCTTGTTTCATTATTATTTGTTGACACTGCTTTAAAGTAAAATAAAAATAATGTGGTTAAGAATATTAAAAATTCAAAAGGAAATACGAAGCGATTGGTTGTTCATTTCATATGTCGGTTATAAAAAACGTATTCGTTTTGTATATTAATAGCAATATAACTGGCTATTATTCAATATACAAATTGAATTTAAAAAGTGTTGTCGCCAAAAATTTATTTATAGAAAAAGAGTGTAAGAGACGGTTTCAGTTTTTAGTTAACATAAAAAAATAATTTTTTTGAGTAGAATAAATAAAGAAATCTATTGATATACATATATAGTGACTCCATCGCATAATCGGACAAGCATTTGTTCGATATAAATGTGCTCTAAACTTAAAAAAATATGTTAAAAATATTATTATTTTTGCTTTAATTAATACTAAACATACTTATCTATCTAAATTATAAAAAAAATTAAAACATTTCTCATTATAACTATAAATTTAAACTGAAAAACAAAACCAACACAATTTTTTGAGCTCAACGCATAATCGGACAAAATGAAGCAGCCATGCTAAAAATGCTGTTATTTTACAAATAATAACAATAAATAATAATTTTATTTTTATGTAATAATAATAATAATCTGTAATAATTCTCACAACAAATTTAACAATTAAGTAATATTAAATAGTATTACAATATCACCAAATGGAAAGCAATTTACTGTCCAAATTAGGCAATTAATAATTAAATTGAATTTTAAAGGTAAAACCGTTAGAGAAATTGCCTATTTAGTTGAAATAAGTCAATCTACTATCCGAGACATTATCAAGAGGTCCCATGATGAGTTTAGGCTAGCCAATAAGATCAGAGCAGCTCAAGGCGAAATATTAAATGATCAAGAAGAGCGTTCGATATTGAGAGAAATAAAGAAAAATCCTTTCAAAACCGCAAAAAAAATCTTAAATTTTCATTAAAATCCCGCTCTAGGAAAGATATATGCTTAAATACTATTCACAATTTACTAAATTAATCCGATTATCACGGAAGAATTGCTATAAAGAAGCCGTTTATAAGTATTAAATATGAAAATAAAATAATAAACTATGTCAAGGAGTAATTACTAAAAACAGAAAGCTTTTGGAATCAGATAAATTGAGGGAAAATCATCTTAAATGCATTTCCATTCATGATTTTAGTTTTTTCAAGCTTTTGTTCACTGACGAAATTAAATTTAAGTATGATTTAAGATGTTGATAAGATGTTTGTATCTCGTAAACCAAATGCAAAATTCAATCAGCCTAATACTGATTGAATTTTGTTAAGTGCAGGAGACGGGTTGTATGTAAAGTGCAGGAGACGGCAATTTGCATTTTATTGATAGTTAAATGAACAAATTTGCTACATTCATATTTTGAAACAGAATGTAAAGCAAGGGGCAAAGATATTGGGTATCGCAAAAAACATCTCTTTTGATCAGGACAACGATTATGAGCATACGTCAACCGTATTAAAACTTTGATTCATCCAGAACTGCCCCAAACTCATAGAAGCATCTGCACAGACCTTGATGTAATTGAGCATCTTTCGAAGCAATTAGCTAGGAGAGTGTATTAAAAAAAAAGGAATGCAATAGTACAGCTAAAGAAGGCTTTACTCGGAACATGTTACTCAATAGAGCCAAAAGTGTGCCAAATCAGTTCCAAATCGTGTCCAGGCCGTTCTAGATAACAAAGGATATGTAACAAAATATTCATTGCTACATTTCTGCATGTTTAACATAGTTGCTTCATTTTGTCCGATTATGCGTTGAGCTCAAAAATTTGTTTTGGTTTTGTTTTTCAGTTTAAATTTACAGTTATTATGAGAAGTGTTTTAATTTTTTTTATAATTTATATAGATAAGTATGTTAAGTATTAATTAAAGCAAAAAAAATAATATTTATAGCATATTTTTTTAAAATTTGCAGCACATTTATATCGAACAAATACTTGTCCGATTATGCGATGGAGTCACTGTATATATAGCATGGTATATTTTATTCTGTTTCAACATGAATACCATTGGAGTTAATACAAGCTCCAAATCGCTATATGGCTATTAATATGCGTATTTCTGAATCAAGAGCATTTAAAGAATTTTAGCGATGGAGTTTTAGCGATAGCGATTAGTGGAATCGGCCTGCTGGTGTTTTCTGACTTTGCGTTCTAAAATTTCCCAAACATGTTCAATAACATTACAATCCGAGCTTTGTGGTGGCGTATTTAACTGTTGCGGAGCATAGTTGTAGTGGACCTATCTCACTTACTTCTTAGCCACTTAACATTACTCATAAATAATAATTGGTTGCACTTCATGCATACCGTACAAGAAGCATAAGCAAAGCGACATAAACAAAAGAGTTTCGTATTACCAACGAAAGTATTGCCACACGCTGTTCCAATTGCTGAACACATGTTACAATATTTTCAATAGTAATATTTCCTATATTGCAATAGATATGTGCAAGCAATATTGTCAATGCACTCTAATTATAACTTTGACGTTTGACCTAAATGAGCAAACAGTGTAGTCGCTATGCAATGCATTCTGCAAGGTCAGCAATCACTTTGATTGGCTGCGGTTATACTTTTCCAGGTTTTGTCTGGAATAAAGAGGCGGAGTCATGAGATCGCTATAATCTAGAAAAATGTATAAATACCCAAACTATTGTTCAATAAAAACAAGAATATACTAATGACTGCAGAAATATATGCGTTGTTGAATTTATTCTCACTCTTTCTGGCCAAGTAACACTGGCATAGGTACCAGCGGTAATAAGCCGCTTGATAACTTGTTCTTGATTGCATCAGTAGGTTTAGGATGCATGCTCGTATCAGGCAGGGATAAATACACGCACTCACAAGACAAGTATTACGTCTCATTTCACCTGACGATCTACATCTGAACGGGCTAACACATTACATGGTGATCCAGCCATTACATTGATTGAATATTGCCCATACATCCATTCTTACATTACATTGCGATCCTGCCAGTATTCCATACTTCCATTACATTACATGGCGATCCTGCAGGCTTCAGTGCCAAGCGGACCAATTAGAAACTATACCATTTGAATTGATTGAAATCAACACGATATGATAGATGAAGCGACCTTCCACGCAATTTTTCGCAAATACGAATTGATACTTCAAGCGACGAATACAAAATCAGAAGAATACGTTCCAGAACAAGTGGTGCAACACGAACAAGCATATCTGACGTATGTGCTAATACCACGGTCAGCCGGCCCAAAAGCAATTACAATAGAAGAATACAAAAGGCGACAAGAGGCAAGAAAAAGACCTACCACACCTGTCAATCCACCACCAAAAAAGAAGCCAAACAGACGGAGAGGAAAAGCATTCCGCCAACGAAAGCAAATTGCCCAACTGTACGAGAGGTACAACCTGGCGACAACCATTGCAGAAAAGAAGAACATCAAGCTGGAGATAAAGGACTTGCGCAGAAACAGGAATAAGAAGAATTAATAAATTATATTTTTTTTATATCTATATTATATTTTGTATTTTTGTCAAAAAAAAAAATTAAAATTTTTTTTTATTATGAATAATTTCAATTGTTTTGTTTGTGGTAAAAGTTACCATACAAGTAAAAAATTAACTAAACATATCGATAATAAACATTTTAAACTAATAAATTACGTAAATCAACTAATTAAAAATTTATAAAAAAAAAAAAAATATTTTTTTTTAAAAAAAATGGGATTTTGGAAGAAAATTTTTACTTCAATTCCACTCATATTTACAGGATATGAAATAGGCAAAACAATTGAAAATAGGAATAATAATATTGTAAACAATAATATGACAAATGTAAGTTATTTAGAAATTATATTATCAATATATAACTGTAATAATAATAATCTCATTTATCGTTAATCAAGTTTATAAGAAATTAAAACGTGACCTTGTTAGACAACAGGTACAAATATGAATAAGAATATATAATGGCCACATGGCAAAAAATTTACGAAAACATTGTAACCGAAAAAGAAAATTTTAATAGAGCATATAAATGCTTAAATAAAACTATAAAAATCAAGGAAGATACAGTAAATAAGCACTTACAAACACTTCTCCACACTTGAATCAATAAGAAGTATACTAAACGTATACAACGAAAAGTTTTCAAAAGAACATAAAGAAACTGGTTTAGAAATTTTCTGGCATTTAAGAGACAAATTGATAAAAATATTATCACAATACAATATTGATATGTCATTACCACACTCTATATCAACACCAATATCAACACCAATCACCTACATTCCTGAAAATTCAAACACTGAATCTGATAACACAAGAAGAACCATGTCTGATTTCAATTTAGAAGTACCTACAAAGGCTATTCCCAGCTTCTCAGGAAATCATAGAGACCTAGAACCTTTCATAAAAATAATTGAAATTATTTACAATGGTCTCACGCCTACAGGCAAAAGTTCACTTATTGATTTACATTTGGTATTTGCAAAATTCAAATGTAAACAAAATATATGTCATTACACAGAATTTAACGAATTTTATCACAATTTATAATATACAATTCAACAAACCAATGACATTTCTAATAGACACAGGAGCCGACATATCCATATGCAAAAACCCATTCAATAATGAATTTGACTACAATAGTAATAACAAAAGCAAATTAACCGGTATCACAAAAGACGAAATCACTTCAGTAGGCATAGCTGAGCTAACTTTTCGAATAGGCAAAGATAGTACCAGCATTAATTTCCATTTAGTCACAGATGACTTCCCTACTTCAACCGATGGAATTTTAGGCAGAGATTTCCTCATCAAACATTTATGCAAAATTGACTACGAAACATTCACATTAACTGCAATAATTAACAATAATGAAAACACATTAATGATGGATACACAGTTACAATCAAATGGAATTTTAGAAATACCGCCCAGAACAGAAGTTATAGTACCGATAAAT